TGTCGCCGTCGTCTAGGCGCCATCGTGCGTAGTCGCGCGCCGTGGGAGCAGCGAATGGGTAGAGCTCGGGCCAAAGAGGCCCTCCGCCAACTGGTGGCAGCTCCGCCATCAATGGGCGCCGCCGTGGAAGCCGCCGCCCGAATGCTGGGCGTCTGCCCGCTCGAGCGCTCGAGGTCGAGGCGGAACCCCGTAGGCCAGCGCTCGCGCCGCACGGCGGTCCTGCTCAGGGGAAGCAGGAACCGCGCCGCGCGGCCAGGCGGAGGCCCAGAGCCTCCGCCACACGTACGGGCCCAGCAGCCCGAGGCAGCAGCCCGCGCAGGCGCTGCAGGCGGCCGTCACCCAGAGGAGGGCGACGACCGTGCTGAGCAGCCAGGGAGAGACCCCGCCGCTCAGATCCACCGCCAGCCCGAGGCAGACGGTGGGGCAGGCGGAACCCGCCGAAGGGAGGGGGCAGTAGGCCCCCTCACCCTCGGACGAGTCCGCCTGCGGGATGGACCAGGCAGGCGCAGGAGGCCCCTGGTCCTGAAGCACAGAGAGGGGGGCAGCCACGAGTCGCTCGTAGAGCGCGGCCCGCAGCCCCCTGAAGAAGATCTCCCCAGCGCCCTCGAGAGCCGCTTGTGCGACCGCCTGCATAAGGCGCCCGCACGCGCGGCCGACGGGGGGGCACTTGGGCAGAGAAGCTGCGGAGACAGCAGGAGCTTGCTCACAGAGAATAGAAGAGGCATCATCATCACCATCATCAGCATCATTATCATTACCATTATCATTATCATATTCAGAATCAGAAGCATCATCATCATCATAATCATCATCGTCATCATCAACATCATCATCAGCAGCAGCAGCGTCAGGAGCATCATCAACACCCTTGCCCCCCTCCCCCCTCCGTTCATCCGTCTCCCCCTTCTCCTTCCATTCCTGCTCTCCTCTTCCTCCCTCCGTCCCCTCTCCCATTTCCCTCCTCCCCCTCCCCTTCATGCTCCCCGTCAAGTTCCTCCCTATCCTCCTCACCCTCCTCCCCACACGCTGACATCAAAGCCCATCGTTTCGAGTTCTGACGGGAGGAGGATGAGGAGGAGAAAAGCAACGTGACTGAATCCAGGATGGAACAACCATCCTGCAAACAAGCCCCCCGTCCGAAGTCCTCTTCTCATATCCATGAGAGACGTCTTGCTCACTAGTGCCGCACCCCCTTCAACGACGAGTGCCGAGTCCGCTTTCCAGTCGGCGTGTGTGAGACGCTGTCGTCGTCTTCGTCGTAGTCGTCGCCAGTCCCAAGGAAACCTCAAAACAAACGAAGAAAAGAAACACCGTAAAAGAAACGTAGTCGATTCCCTCCCCCTATTCCCCTCCCTGGCGGAAGAGGGGGGTAGGGGGGGGTAGAGGGGGGATAGGGGTGGGTCAAAATACCCTCCTAGATAGCAAGCCGTCTAGCTCACTCCCATCCGCCCTCCCAACACATAAATAACACCCGAGCCTCGGCATGTTCAGCGGTCGCCTTTGGATTGACAGCTAGCTTCTGGGAACCAAAACCGAGCCCACGTGCGCGACGCTGGGGCGAGGTGCGCCACGCGTGCCAGGGGCGCCACGCCCGCCAGGCACCCATGGGGCCCGAGCGTGCCAGGCACGCCTGGTGCGCCAGATGCGCCACGTGCCTCCGCGTGCGCCAGGTGTGCCACATGCTCCAGCCACGCCTGGTGCGCCCCAGGCCTGGCCCCAGCTCGAGCCCGGCCCCAGCCCAGGCCCATCGAATCCAGCCTCGGCCCTGGCTCCGGCCCTGGCCCCAGCCCCAGCCGCGGCCCTGTCGCCTCCCAGAAGCCTGCCCCCGAGGAGACGCACGGATCTCCTCCTCCGCCTCCTCCTCCTCCGCCTCCTCCTCTTCCTCTTCCTCTTCTTCTGCCTCCAGCTCCTCCTCCTCCTCCTCCTCCTCCTCCTCCTCCTCCTCCTTCTCCTCCTCCTCCCCCTCCCCCTCCCCCTCCCCCTCCCCCTTCTCCTCCGCCTCTTCATCCTCCTCCTCCTCCTCCTCCTCCGCCTTCTCCTCCACCTCCTCCTCCTTCTACACCCTCCAACGCCCGCCCCATGTCCCGAGCTTGTGCCAGGCAAATCAGCTCGTCGTTGTCGTCATTGTGGTGGTCGTCGTCGTCGTCGTCGTCCTTCTGGCTCGGCGGCACTGGCCGTAAGGCCTTCACAATAAACTTGGTTACAAGTTAGGCAAGAGCTCTGTTACGAACAGTAGCCGCCTCCACCCATGCAACTGCCAAATGCCCAGCCATGGGATCACACTCTGAAATGTCAAATGAGAACTCCAATGTGATACAAAACTGACATCTGTCCGTGTAACGCATGGCAAATGTGAGGAAGAATGTGCGCGGCGATCAGGCGAGACCCGGGCATTGAAAACAAACCGCCATCCTTCCACGTAGAACATGCAAGCTGGTAAGGCAAATGACCGCGGCACTAAAGTGGCGACAACATATTGGAAGCGACCTACCATCAGTTCGTGTAGTCTAAGAAAACGAACTACGACGAATCGGCGCACCACGGTGGTGACAACAACATGTTGAAAATGACCTGCGCTCCATCCGTGCGAGTGAAGAAAAACGAATGCGGGCGGCGTTAGAAGTTGAAGTGGCAACAACATACGTATTGAAACCGATCTGCCCTTTACCCGTGCAACTGTTGCAAAAAGATCATGCCTCAGGATCACAAGAAGCTGCGGGGGGGAGTCTCAAACGAACGCCCAAACTGCCCTACCGACACGCATACTGGTGTGACGAGGAGTCCTTTGCCAGGGAACAGCATGTTGATGAGAAACGGCAGTGCTGATGATAAGAAGGAGGAGGCGAGCAGCAGCAGCAGCAGGAGCAGCGAGGGCGGCAGGAAGAAAACGAAGAGCAGGAGTAGGGGGAGAAAGACGAGGAGCGGTTGAAAGAAGAGGTGAGGCGCAAGGGAGCAAGAGAGGCTCGGAAGAGAGGATGACGTGGGCAGCGGCAGCAGCAGCAGCAGCAGGAGCGGGAGGATTGCGACCAGGATCGGAACAGGGACGCGCCGAGGGTGAGAACCAGCCTCAGGACGGCTCCTCGTGCTGCTCATCCTCGGCTTCCCCTTTCTGCCTCCCTGATCCTCCGCCCCGTCCTGCCCCTCCTCCTCCTCCTCCTCCTCCTCTTCGTTGTCCTCCCTCGGCTCCTCCCAGGGAGGTCCGAATCCCCCAAACCTGGGAAGTGGAGGACAATGGACATCCGAACGGAACGATTATGCGGTCAACTTGGAGGTGTAGGTCCCTCTGGCTCCCCCTCCTTCTCCATCTCCTCCTTCTCCTCCTCCTCCTCCTCCTCCTCCTCCTCCTCCTTCTCCTACCCAACGGCGACAGCGACAGCAAAGATGACGGCTCCAACGCCCGCCCCACGACCACGCCGACAGCGCCGACCCCGACCCCGACGCCGACGGTGGCGTTGGCGACCACGGCGGCGACGACGTTGCCAAGGCCGACGCCGACCCCGACGCCGGCGACGACGAGCCAAAGATCTGGTGCTTTGCTTTTCCGGCACGGAATTTTGGAGTCCCGAAACGGTGCGGTGACGGACCGTGCGGTGACCTCGAAATCCCGCAAGACCTCACCGCACGGTCCGTCACCGCACGGTCTGGGGACCCCGCAGGCCCCCGTCGCCCGAGACGTCCTCGGAGAACGACCCGAGTCCCAGAACCGTGCGGTGACCCCGAATCCCCACCGACTCACCGCACGGTGTGGTCACCGCCCCGTTTGGGGGCCCCCGAAGAATCCGCAGAGGCCTCGGCCCCCTCCTGGGCCAGCTTCTCGGCTCGGGCCGTCTCCCAGGGGGCCCCAGGGCCTGGCGGTGGCCGCGAAGGGGCGGACAACGGCGCCAGATCTCCGCACTTACCAGCCTGGAACATATCCCTATCCCTAAGCTCGGCATCGCCTCATCACAATGCCAATCTTAGGGATTCCCTTAGTTTTTCAGGGCGCATCCCTAAGATTGTCATCGCTTTTTGGCGTGTCAATCTTAGGGATAGGGATAAGTTCGAGGCTGGTGACGCACTGCTTTTTGAATGCAGTCGGACCTGGGCCAGAAGAACATCCAAGCACATGAGACCCTCCGCCGGCCCAAACAGACAGAACATCCAAGGGCACCCCCCCATGGGGTGCACAGGAACATCCAACAAGCACGAAGAACGTTGGGGCACCCTCCCCGAGCCGACCTCGAACTCATACAGTCAACCCGTAGAATGCGGATGCGCGATAAGGATGCAAGGGCCTTGGAGGGCCACGTTAACGTTTTTCCAACGAGGTTGGCCAGCCAAAGCGACCAAGGATGGACCGAGGAGGCAAGGATGCAAGGGTACCCATGGGAAAGTTGCCCATCCTTCTATGCGGGTTGACTGTACCTCGGTCCGACTCTGCGCTGGAGCTCTGGCTTCGGGTCACACCACTTCGGGCCTCTGCCCGCTCAGGGCGGTCCGCCCCCCGGAACGCTCTCGGCAGGGCGCCGCTGCAGAAGGCACTCCGAGGCTGGAGAACCGCCAAGAGCCGACGACACTGTCCGCGAACTTGAACATCTCGAGAGTCGCACGCCCACTCTGAACGTCTCGAAGGATGCACGTCGAACACCTTTGTGACGTCTTCGAGCTTGGAACCTTTGAACTTTGGAACACTGTCCGACGACACTGTCCGCGAACTTGAACATCTCGAGAGTCGCACGCCCACTCTGAACGTCTCGAAGGATGCACGTCGAACACCTTTGTGACGTCTTCGAGCTTGGAACCCTTTGAACTTTGGAACACTGTCCGACGACACTGCCCGCGAACTTGAACACCTCGAGAGTCGCACGCCCCCTCTGAACGTCTCGAAGGATGCACGTCGAACATCTCTGCAACATCTCAGAACTTCGAACCTCTGAACCTTGAACACTGTCCGACGACGCTGTCCGCGAAAGTCGCGCGTCCAAGGTCGGCAGCGGCGACGCCGACGACGGCCGGGAAGCCTCCAGCCCGCCGATGGCGGCCCGCAGCTGCCGGCCGCCGTCTGCGCGGGCGCCAGCCACGGCGGCCCTGGCGGGGGGTGCGAGGCTTCGAGGACTCGGGGTCTCGAGGGCTCGAGGGCTCAAGGGCTTCGAGGACTCGGGATCGAGGGTCGACGATCGAGGATCGATGACTCGAGGTCGAGGATCCAGCATTCGAGGGTCGAGGCTCGAGGATAAAAAATGTGAGCCCAGACCTCCAGCGCACTGACAAAATCCACGCAGAAGTGTTTCGACAATGTCAAGTTGCCTGGACGCGCGTGCGGAATGCCTCTGCCGCGCTGCGACGCAAAAAAGTGTTTCGACAATGGCGGCCTCCAGCAGCCCTCGCAGGGCCCCAGGACAGTCAAAGGGCGACTCAGGATGAAAGCGGGCCCCGTGGAAAGGGTTAGGACTTCCAAAGTCTCCGTGCTCAAAAACCAAAACGCCGGATATCTGGAAACCGTTCCGCGTTATCCTCCGCTTCTGTGCCTCTGAATCGGGTGTCCTCCAAGGGTACCCCCAGGATTCCCAAGGAGGCCCCCATGGCCTCCCGAGCACCCCCCACGAGGCCCTGAGGGCCCCAAGGGGCTCCAACATCGAGCGAAAGGCTGGGGGCACCTTGGGCCAGGGGCACCTTCCGCAACCCCCTGAATGAATGGGGGAACCCAAAAAGGTACCGATAGAGGAAAGAGAACTATGCACATACACCGATTCTGGCCAGGCCCATCCTGAGCCCAGGATCGGTGCATACGCCCTCCTACCTTGGCCAGGAAGGCATATGCACCGATCCTGGGTCAAGAATGGGCCTTGCCAGGATCGGTGCATGTGCATAGTTCTCTTCGCCCGAACCGATACCGCTGCTTCCCAAACCTCTCCCGGGGTGCGTTCTGACCTGAATTTCGAGGCGAGTCCAGCGGTGGCGGCGAGGGCCTCCCAGAAGGCCCTGAAAGGGGAGGACGAGGGAAGGGTAGCGGTATCCGTACGTTTTCTAGAGGCCTCCTAGATGGGGTCGGAGTCAATGGGGTCGGAAGATCGCGCCGCATTGCTGATACATCGGCGATGCATCGGCGATGCGCCGGCGATGCATCGCCGACGTCGGCGATGCATCGCCGACGTCGACGTGAAGCAGGTCGGGCTGCACATCGACCCGCGTCGGCAATGCATCGGCGCTGCGGCGCAATCCTCCGACCCCGTCTACTCCGACCCCATCTAGGAAGCCTAAATGTTCCTCCTCTGACTGAAGGGACTTCCCAGTCGCCACAGCCGGAGCCCCCTCGAGAGTGCGGCCAGGCGTAGCTGCCCCGATACGCAGGCCGCCACACGTGTCGTACTGATACGGAGCTCCACACGCGGGCTGAAAGCGCAGGTCCGACGCGATGCCTTCGCCAAGACGTGGCCCAATACGTGGAGCCAACACGCAACGTATTGGCACGGACGTCCTGCACACGGCACGTGCTGCGCCTCGACACGGGCGCATCGAGGCAGCCGAGCGGCCGGGGCGGAGCCCGGGAGCGCCTCCGGGGGCCGGCCTCCGCGGCGCGGCCGAGGGCCGAGGCTCCGGGGCTTCGTGGCGCCAGGGCTCGGGGCACGCCGACGCCGCCGGCGTCGACGTGCTCGCCTCCGAGGCTCTGGGCACGTCGATGACGTCGACGTCGACGACGTCCACGTCGACGTCGACGGCGTCCACGCCCACCTGGGGCTGAACACGTCGGCGTCGACGTGTCCGGCCGTGGCGACGGGCGCTCGTCGCCACGGCTGGGCGCTGGGACGAGCCCAGGGGCTGGCTTTTGGGCGGCTTCCTGAGGAGGCGAGGAGGCTCGAGGGTCGGGGGCAGACAAGCGAGGCTCGAGGCTCGAGGACCGAGGATCGAGGCTCGAGGACCAAGGCTCGAGGCTCGAAAATCGATGGCTCGAGGGGCCTCGCAGCCCCCAGGGGTCTGGGGACCTCCGACGACCTTCGGAGGCGGTCGTCTTCGTCGTAGGTCGAAGTCGCCGCTGTCGCCACGTTGCTCGTCGTCGTCGTCGCCTTCGTCGTTGCCGCCGCTGCCGTCGGCGGTGCGGTCGTCTGCGCTGGCAGCGTTGCCGTCCTCGCCGTCGTTTTCCTGAGAGCGCGGGCATATATTTCCAGCGGGCCTCGGAGCCTATCCCAAGGAAGAATCGAACGGGAGCAGCTGTCGTCGTAGTTGGGGCCTTCACCAGCGTGGCTGAATTGCGAAAAGCTAGATAGAGAGCGCCGCGGGCGCATCTGACGTATGGAGCGGCAGCCGTTGGTGTTGAAATTCGACCTTCACCAACCCAAGTGGCTTGCGAAGAAGTCTCGGGCGAGAGCGCCACTCCTGAGAGCGGGAGCGTCTCTGGCCAAAGAGCCTCGGAGAAGTTACGAGGAAATATCGAAAAGGGGGCTGTTGTCGTCCAATTTGGCCTTTACTAACTTTACTGAACTGCGAGGACGTGTCGAACAATAGCGCCGTTCCTGAATTGGGGGGCCCCTCTGGCCAGGGCGTTTCGGAGTTGGGGCTTCACCAGCCCAGATTTGAAAGCAAGCTCGCGCTCGAGCAGGAGCGTCGCTCTGAAGTAGCATGAAGCCAGCGTCGAGGCCAGAACGTGAATATTCAACGACAGCGACGACGAAGATGACCGCGACGGCAGCGGCGACGACGACGACGCCGACGGTGGCGGCGTCGTCGCCCCTCCCACAAGCGGTGCAGGGACGCAGGGGGGACAGCGGACGACTCACGCGGAAGCCTGGCCTGAGGGCGCCCTCTAGGATGGCCTCGCGCGGGTTCGGGAATCCATAGGCGAGGTGACGAGAAATCGAGGGAAGCACGAGGAGGAGGAGGAGGAGGAGGAGGAGGAGGAGATGGAGAAGGCGGAGGAGGAGAGCGGCGGAGGAGGAAAGAGGAGGAGCAGGATGGAGCAGGAGGAAGGAGGGGGAGGAGGAGGAAGAGGAGGAGGAAGAGGAGGAGGAGGAGGAGGAGGAAAAAAGAGGAGGGAGGAGGCAGGAGGAGGTGTGTCTTGTGGCTTGGCCTCAAGTAGGGAACGCGCCCCAACTCCAAAAGGCGGAACGAACCAGAGCACCAGACCAGAGAGCAGAGGCGAGGAAAGAGGAGCGCGACGAAGAGGTGGGCGGGCCCAGAGCGCGAACAGACCAGACCCGACCAGCACGCAGCAGAGCGGGCATCCGCCCGATCGATCCAGGGAGGAGCGACCCCCTGTGCGCATGGCAGTGCGGGACGCCGCATCGGCGCATGCGCGCGCAACGCCTACATTCGGCAGCAGGAGGAGGAGGAGGAGGAGGAGGAGGAGGAGGAGGAGGAGGAGGAGGAGGATGAGGATGAGGATGAGGATGAGGATGAGGATGAGGAGGAAGAGGAGGAGGGAGGAGGAGGAGGAGGAGGAGGAGGAGGAGGAGGAGGAGGGGAAGGAGGAGAAGAGGAGGGGGGGGAGGAGGAGGAGGAGGAGGAGGAGGAGGAGGAGCCCAGCGTACCCAGGGAGGTTCAGCTCCACCCAAAGGAAAAAGCACGGCGGCGCACGGCGACGAAGCCGCGCGGGTCGCGGTCGACGTCGGGCACGCGCGGGCGGCGACGCGGGCCGCTGTTTCACTCGAAATGAAAAGAGATGAGGCGGCGGCGTCGGGACATGTGAGCGGCGGCGAGGCGAGCACGGGGGATAGGAGGAGAGGCGAGACAGCAGAGGGCAGCAGCAGGGAGGACTCGAGGGACGGAGCGGAGGGGGAAACGATGGGCGAAGACACGATGATACAGTCGGGCACTGGTGGGCGGGACAGGCTGCGATGCGACGCAATGGGAGGAGGAAGGGCGGGGGGCAGGGACGAGTGGAGAGGACAGCGAGGGATCCCCGAGCGCGGCAGACGGCCTCGCAGCGGATGGGATGCGACAAGGGGCGAGCATTCGGGCGAACGGCATCGAGAAGATTTTTAGCACTGCGCTCACAATCGCCGTTGTCAATAACGGTCGCTCCAGGACCAGAAGTGAGCCGTGACATCCTCGAGCAGGTGGCAATCCTCGACAGCGCGGAGGGGGGGCCACCCGTGGCAATCCTCGACGACGGCTCAATCGACGGGGGCGCGGAACAGGAGCGAGGAGTAGTCCCAACAAGGCGAGGCGGATCCAGCTTGCGTTGGCGACGTAATGAGCCTTTATTTACATCAGAGGCGGTCGACCTCCGTGGCGGATCCAGGTGACGTTGGCGACGAATCGAGCCTTTATTTAAATCAGAGGCGGTCGACCTCCGCGAATCAGCGCCGCTCGAGTCTGTCCAACTAGATCGCCGTGGACCATGCGGAAGCGCGTCGCAACCATCAGTCAGGTCCTCCAGACGACCGGCTCGTTCGGGTGTCGCAGTCATCGTGGCGGGCGTCGGCGGTGCCTGGGGTCGGAGGTCCATGGTCCATCATGGCCAGGTCGTCAGAGATCTCTCCATTCGAGGGCACACGTGCGCGAGGCGAAGGTGAAGCAGGCGAGACCATCGGCGTCAGCCTTGGACTATCAGGATGACCAGGGCGTTGCGCTTCACACATCACAGGGCGAGCTGGCGGTGGGCCACTGTCCCAGCATCCCCACCATTGTCCAACTGTCCCGAGGAGCGGAAATCGTTTGCCCGCGGCGAAGGGGGGTGGGGCTCGAACTGGTAGTGACGCCCCCCTGGGTTTTCGAGAGAGGGGGGGGTTCGAACCGGTAGTGACCCTCCCCTTTTCATTATGGACTGGGGGGGGGAAGGGTTCGAACTGGTAGTGAACCCCCCCTCGGTTTTCGAGGAGGGAGGGGGGTGACGGGTTGGGAACCCCCAGTGACCCCCCACCCCGGTTTTCCGCCAGCAGCCGTAGAACACGCTCTTTCACATTTTGAAAACTTGCCAAGGTTTAAGCTTCAGGGTCATAGATCGTGATGAAGTCTCAGGCCAAACGCCCGGCCCGACCTAAAAACTGGCCTCGGGGTACGACAGGGAGAAGTTAGTTTTAAGGAGAAGGAATGGAGGAGGAGGGAGGAGGAAGAGGAGGTACTTGATGTTGTGTTCTCACGTTTGAAACCTCCTGTGGGCCCCTCGTCGCATCGATTGCCTCCACCGCGAAATCTTTGTCACAGCGCTCCCCGGGACAAGGGATCGGCGTTCATGGGGAAGACAGTGGATAGTGACGCCTCTCCGCCCCGTTCTGGCCCCCTGGACCCTCGAAGATCGGACCGGCTCGAAACTCCCGCATCAGGATCGTGTCCATAGACCCGACCAGGCCCCTTCTCCACGACGCCCCTGTGCCTCCCGGCCTGCCCTCGGATCTCATCCCGACTTGTCCACCAGGGGAGGGAAAAACCGCTACGGTCCACCCGTGCAGCAAGGATGCGCGGTAGGGATGCATGGGGCCTTGGAGGGCCACGCCAGCGTTCTCTGAGCGAGGCTGGCCAGCGAGAGCCGCTGAGGATGGGCCGAGGGCAGGGGATGGGGACGGAGACTGAGGGCGGTCCGAAGAAGAGGACCGAGAGCAGCGGATGGGGAGAGCTCGAGCGGGAGAGGAAGGGGGGGGGCAGAGTGCAGAAAACGGGGGGAGACGGGAGAAGAAGCGGGAGGCCAAAGTGAGGAGATCGGAGAGGGGATGAGAGCCGGGACAGAGGAAGGAGGAGGATGAGGAGGAGAAAGAGGAGAAGGAGGATGGGAACACGCGCGCCATGAACAGTCCTGACGATGGTTTCGAGCTCCACGATCGCTGCATCATCCTTTCTCTATTTCCCCTTCCGCCTTGCTTTGCCACCGCCACCCTCTTCTCACTCGTCCTGACCTCACTGCCTCCCAAAACGCACCCCCCTCCCATCCCATCCCTTACCATAAATAATTCCTCCTCCTCCTCCTCCTCGTTCTCCTCGTCCCTCTGTTCCCTCCCCCTCCGCCCTTCTCTCGTCCCTCCTTCTTCCTCCTCCCTCCGCCCCCCTTGCACGGTGCCTCCTCTCACCTCCTCTCTAAGAAAGCCATGGGTGCTCTCCAAATCAGCGCAAAAGCGACCTCTGCAGCCTGGGGGGCTTCTGGGGCCTGTGAGATCTGCGGGGAACGTGGGGCTCGTGGGGCCCGTGGGCCCCTCTGGAGCCCGTGCGACCGGTGTGACCTATGGGACCTACGCGGCCTCTGGCACTTTCTACTGGCCATCGCTCGGACGTCCCTTCCCTGTGTTTTTTTCGGTTTCGTGCGTGTTTTTTTCGCCACATGATCAAGGATGCTCCTCGATTGTCCTCGCCGAAAGAAAAATGCACACGTCCGAGCGATGCCAAGTCTGGAGCCTGCGGCTCCTCTGGGGCCCGACGCTTCCATGTTGCTTGCCGGTAGCCCTCGTGAGAGCACAGCTCCACGGCCCTCGGGGGAATCCACGTCTCCCGAACTCTGGCCAACTGTGCCAGGGGGGGGGGGGGGCGGCGTGCTCCGCACCCAAGTTTTTTGCACACGCGTGCCCTCAAGAAAGCGGGGCAGGCCAAACAAGCGAGCCCTAACGGGCGGGGCGTACCCCAATGGGCAAGCGGGGTCGGGCGGGCGGGCCGAGCCGGGTGAGCAGGGAAGCCATGTGCCTCCCCTCACGGCGGTCCTCCTCCTTCTCCTCCTCCTCCTCCTCCTCCTCCTCCTCCTCCTCCTGAGCGTTATCCTCCTCCTCCTCCTCCTCCTCCTCCTCCTCCTCCTCCTCCTCCTCCTCCTCTTCCGCCCCCTCCTCATCCGCATCATCGACGTCACCGTCATCCGGCACCCCTGCGCATGGCACGCGGACGCCTTCCCCGGCGCGCGAGCCTCGCCTGGTTATCGAGGAGCGGGCCCCCCGCGCCCGAGGAGGACAAGCGGCCCTCGCTCGAGGGAGACACCAGCTATACGGCTACTGCCCGCCTGGCGACAGAGACACCGGGAAGGAGGCCGAGCCGAGCCCCGATCCGCATCCGGGCACCCGCCTCCAGGCCCGGGAGCCGGACGCTGGCGCCCGCCCCGCTGCCGAATGGTCATGCCGTCGGCGTCGCTGCGCCGCCGCTGCGGGGCACCAGCCAGCAGCTCGGCCCGGCCCTGCCGGGACCGCGAGGTCTGGGGTCGGCTGCCGTGGGAGCCGTCGCGCTCCCCAGCCTGGACGCCCACGTGCGGGAGATCCCCGATGCGGCCGCGCGCCACTTCGATGGCGCCCCGCGCCCAGCAGGCCGCCGGAGCGGCGGCGTCGGGGGCATCCCTGACTGGGGGCAGCCTCGCCCCGGCATGCCAGCAGAAGGACTCGGCGGTGGGCCACGCGGGCTCGACAACACCGAGGCCTTGCTGGCGGACATCGCCTTCGCATTGTCAATCCAGAACAAGAAAGGCGACGAGGACCATGTCAAGCGGGGCGCGCTGCGCAGCACCACGCGCGAAGACGAGTTCGAGGTCCTGGCGGCCAGGGGCTGCAACAAGTTCAGCGTGAGGGTGTGCGCGGACGACTTGGGCAAGGCGCTCACCAAGTCCATGCTCAAGACGGCCGAGTGCTCCGGTGCCCTGCTTCTGCGCCGCCAGCGGCCGACCCCGCTGGACCACCGCAGGGCCTACGGCACGGGGACCAGGTGCTGGGGAGGACCCACACTGCAGGGGGCGCCGCCCCACTGCCTCACCGCCGCCGACTGGCCGTCCGTCTCGGAAGAGCGCTTCGGGGACTGCACGTCGCCGACGACATGCAAGCTGGAGGCCCGCCCGCACGCGCCGGCCCGCTGCCTGGACTGGCAGCGTCTGGCTCGCAGCGACGCCTGGGTGTTCGCGTGCGTCTACGCCGAGGAGCAAGGGGGCCCCATGGCGAAGGCCCTGGAGGACCTGTGCAGCTCGTGCGAGGGCAACCCGCGGAAGTACGCCCTCCCGTTCCGCCAGGACGCCAGGGAGGAGCTCCGCTGGAGATGGTGGGAGGAGGAGGTCACCTGGAGCGTGCGGGAAGTGCACCACGTGCTCAGCAAGGTCCGCAAGGAGCAGGTCCGCAAGGAGCATTTCATCTCCACGGCCCTCACGCCGCGAGCCGGTGGCCAGGCGCTCCTGCGGCTCCCAGGCACCTTCGACCTCCAGGACCCGCAGGGCTACTGCAGGACGATCATCGAGCACAGTCCACCCGCGTAGTAAGGATGGGCGACTTTCCAAGGCTACCTTTGCATCCTTGCCCCTTCGGCCCATCCTTGGCGACTTTCGCTGGCCAGCCTCGCTCGAAAATCGTTAGCGTGGCCCTCCAAGGCCCTCCCATCCTCATCGCGCATCCTTATTACAGTCGGGCTCGATTGGACAGGACACGCGAGAGGACACAAGACTCTTCCGAGGGCCACACTGCCACAGGAATGTGGAAGCATGGGTCGCGAGACACAGGACACAAGGGCACCCTTGATTTGGCAGGGTCGACCTACTAATCTGGGCCGACTGTATTCGGGAGCGGCCAAGAGGGGGGTGTCCAAGAGGGGGGGGCGCAAATCATGGTCGGCGGCATTTGCGCGGCCCAGCGGGGGGGCCAGGGACGTAATGAAACAAGAAGAGGCGCCATAAAATCTGCGGAATATCATGGCCCCCGCCATGATGTCCACCCCCCCTAGTCCTCCCCCCCTCTTTGCCGCTCCCGACCTACTAATCCGGGCCGACTGTATACGGGTCGACTGCATCGCCCCGGGAAGGAGGCGCACCGCGCCGACACAGGGGCCGCGCGCACAGAGGTCGAGCTGCGCGCCCGCCTGGGGCAGGGCAACCTCGCTCAAAAATCGCTAGCGTGGCCCTCCAAGGCCCTCGCATCCTCATCGCGCACACTCCTCGCGCATCCTCCAAGGCCGACTGCATATGGGTTGACTGCACCGCCCCGGGGAGGAGGCGCACCGCGCCCACACAGAGACCCGCGCGCACGGAGGTCGAGCTGCGCGCCCGCCGCCTGGGGCAGGGGAGGTCGGCGCCACCGAGGAGGAGCCGCAGACCCCCGCCATCGCCGCTGCCCCCGAAGGAGGTCCAATCGTTAGCGTGGCCCGCATCGCGCATCCTTATCCGCCGGCCCCCTTGTGGGGCTACCAGGCTGTAGGCGCGGGTTCGCAGTTTCCAGTACTGCGCGGGTTGTGATCAGTTGGTTTTGCTGATTGCGACTCGGCTTCGCATGAAGTTTCGATACTGCTTCACGACAGCGCCAAGGCCTCATGACTTAGCTCTTCCATGGCCCATTCTCCGAGAGAGGGGGCCGGCGGCAGGGGGCGAAGCCCTTACGGATTATACGGGTTGACTGCATCGCCCGGGGAAGGAGGTGCACCGCGCCCACACAGAGACCCGCGCGCACAGAGGTCGAGCTGCGCCCGCCGCCTGGGGCAGGGGAGGCCGGCGCGCCCGCGGGGGAGGAGCCGCGCGGGCCCCCCGCCGTCGCCGCGGCCCCCACCGGGGAGGCGCGGGCATGCGGGCGCTCTGGAGCCTTTCAAAACGCCATCTCTGGTTTGTTGGTTGGGGGGTCCAAAAATATACACCACCACCACCTCCCTGCCCCCCTCCCTCTCGCTGGAAAGAGGAGAGAGGAGGAATCGACGTGGTGGTGGTGGTGTATATTCTTTGGGCCCCCATTGGTCATGGGAATCCGTGGAACTCTTGCACCTGTTTCCCACGAGTGTGCGCGGCGCGACAGCGAGAGCCACATGTGTTGAAAACGACCCCAAAACGCCATCTCTGGCTCGTTATACACTGTTCATTTCGAATTCTTCGAGAGTTCTTTGATTTCCTGGGGAGTCAGGATCCTTTTGTTTCTAAATGTGCCGTCCTGGGCCTCTTCCTGGCCACCAGGGGGCCGGGAACACATAGAAACGAGCACAATTAGAAATGAGCACGATTAGAAATGAGCGACGTGTAGTCATGGGACGTGTGCTGGTCATTCTGCCATCGCTCGGACGTCCATTCCCCGTGCACTTCTCGGTTTCGTGCGCGGCGCTTTCTCGCAAAATGGCCCGGTATGCTCCTCTGTGGCCCTCGCCGAGAAAAAATGCACACGCCCGAGCGATGCCACGTCATGGGCATCCGTGGAACTCCTGCAACTGTTCCCCACGAGGGTGCGCGGCGCGACGGCGGGGGCCGCATTTGTGGAAAACGGCCCGCCCTCAATCCGTGACAAGCTCTTGCCATGTGTTCCAACGAATGCGCGCGGCGCGAGGGCGAGAGCCACATTCTGAAAACGGCCCGCCCTCAATCCGTAGAACTCTTGCAAGCGTTTAGAACGCATGTGCGCGGCGCTAAAGCGAGCGCCACATTTTGAAAACGGCCCGCAGTCCATATGTGAAACTGTTGTTATGTTTAAGCTTCAGGTTCATAAGCGGTGAGGAACAAGTCTCAAGCGAAACGTCCGGCCCGCCCCAAGAACTGGCCTCGGAGCGCGACAGGGAGAAGTTATGTATAAGAAAAAGGAACGGAGGAGGAGGAGGAAGATGAGGAGGACGACGGTAAGGGGACAAACAAGTAGAACCCCTTCGTCTTCGGCCCCGCATTCGCCCCCCCCCCCCCCCCCTCCCCCCAATCTCAAAGTTGGGTTCGGCCTCTCGGAGGCCCTGAGGGTTCCTCTTTTCTTGTCCTCTCACGCCTGTGCTGCCAAATTCTTCAGGCCAACTTTGAAATTGGGGGGAGGGGGGGGGGGGCGTGATGTCAAGGGTTCCACTTTTTTGTCCATCTACGGGAGGAGGAAGACGAGGAGGACGAGGAGGACGAGGAAGAGGAGGAGGAGGAAGAAGAGGAGGTGGAGGAAGAGGAGGAGGAAGAGGAGGAGGACGAGGAGGAGGAGGAGGAGGAGGAGGAGGCGGCTCGCTCGCGGCTCTGGACGAGGACGGGCGCGCTCCGCGCAGCGCGGGCGCGGAACGGCGGCGGCACGGACCAACAGAGAGCGCGCCTCCTGCGCGCCCCATGGGCCGCCGTCCGCCCCCCGCTTCCGAGGCTCCGGCGCCGCCGTCGAGGCCATGGAGCCCTCGCGCTGCCTCCCCGGCCGACGACTGGCGGGCGACGACCGACGGAGGGCGACGGCGAGGGCGACGGCGACGACGGAGGCGACGACGACGACGCCGACGACGCCGACGCCGACGGTGACAGCTTCGGCGACGGCGACGGCGACGGCGATGGCAAGGGCGCGAAGGCGACGGCGACGACGACGACGGCGACGCCGAGGAGGAGGACGACGACGACGACGACGACGACGACGGCGACGGTGACAGCGACGGCGACGGCGACGGCGACGGCGACGGTGACGGCGACGGCGACGGCGACGGCGACGGCGGCCGACGGCAACGGCGACGGCAACGGCGGCCGACGGCGAGGGCGACGGCGAGGGCGACGGCGATGGCGACGGCGACGGCGACGGCGATGACGACGACGATCTCTTTTCTCTGCATGAAAAGGTAGCACCAGTCCTCGCCGACATCGAAATTCTATATGTACTGATGTGTGGGTCGTGCAAAAACCATGGACCGAAGCTAGCAATTCAGAACAATGTGGTGTGTGTTAGTGAGACAACCCACATCGAAGACTGGATGCTGCTGTCGGGGAGCCGAAAGCTGAAGAGCAAGCGAGCGAAGCGGGGAATCCCAAAAACCGTTGTCCGAGACGAGCAAAACGAGCAGAGGGGGACAACTGCAGGTTCGGAGGTGCAACGGGGACTACGAAACAAAATGCGGCAGAATCACGCGTTCAAAACAAAACCTAACTCCTGATGATGCAAGCCTCCGGCGTAACTGACGCATGCTGCAAAACCCCCTTTTTTCAGACTTCCACGGCACAGCCCCAGGATTATCGCATGGCCGGCTATTTCAGCATATTGAATCGGAAATCGTGAAGATGATGCTAACCCACCAAGCAATAATTCGAGGAAATAAAACTTCCCTGGGAAGAATGTCAGCTGGGGAAAATTTCTGCGACACTAGAAAGATTGGAGAGCAACACGGATCGCGCGAGCATTCCGTTGCAAGCTGCCTTGCGGCACTGAAGTTGCAGATCCTCCGAACTGTGCTCGTCCCTGGCGCGGAAGGCGGACTCCAGCCCCCTCCACCATCGAACTGCCAGTCGTGCCTGGAGACGCCGCTCGGAAAGCTCATCTTTTCCGATGGGTGCCTCGGCTTTCACAGCGCTCAGGCCGTCGCTCCTGGACTCGAGACAAGACCCCCATCTCGCCGAGACGTGGACCCGAGGAGGAGGAGGAGGAGGAGGAGGAGGAGGAAGAGGAGGAGGAGGAGAGGGAGGAGGAGAAGGAGGAGGACGAGGAGGGAGGAGGTGGAGGAGGGGAAGGAGGAGGAGGAGGAGGAGGAGGAGGAGGAGGAGGAGGAGGAGGAGGCATCCAAAATGTGGCCCGGGAATGGACTTCTGGGAAGTCGAAGAGCACAAAGTGGCCTATAGTTGGCTCCGGGCATCCAAAATGTGGCCCGGGAATGGAATTCTGGGAAGTCGAAGAGCACGAAGTGGCCTACAGTTGGCTCCGGGCATTCAGAATGTGGCCCGGGAATGGAGTTCTGGGAGGTCGAAGAGCACGAAGTGTGTGACTGTTTGCGAAAAACGACTGCGGCGGCAGCCGCGCCGGGTCCCGCCCCGGGTCCCGCCCCGACCCCCCTGAGGAGTCATGATGCTCTCTTTGAGACCACTAAAAACCTATCAGCAAGAGCTGTTAGGTAATTATCCTGGCAAAGCAACCTAACAGCGATGTGTAGAAGCATATCTGAAAGCATTCCCCTTAAGATTCAAATGAAAATCCAGTTGTAGAATTCTGCTGTTCTCGCAGTCGTAGTCGCATTCGCGATGACAGTCGCAGCGGCAACGGCAGTCGCAGTCACAGCCTCAGCCTCAGCCTGCCTCAGCCTCAGCCTCAGCCTGCCTCAGCCTCAGCCTGCCTCAGCCTCAGCCTCAGCCTGCTTCAGCCTCAGCCTCAGTCTGCCTTCAGCCTCGGCCTCAGCCTCAGCCTGCCTCAGCCTCAGCCTGCATCAGCCTCAGCCTCAGCCTCAGCCTGCCTCAGCATCAGCCTGCTTCAGCCTCAGCCTCAGCCTACCTCAGCCTCAGCCTCAGTCTGCTTCAGCCTCAGCCTCAGTCTGCCTTCAGCCTCGGCCTCAGCCTCAGCCTGCCTCAGCCTCAGCCTGCCTCGGCCGCAGCATCAGCCTGCCTCAGCATTCAAAATGTGGCCCAGGAATGGAGTTCTGGGAACTAGAAGAACACGAAGTGGCCTACAGTTGGCTCCGGGCATTCAAAATCATGCCCAGGAATGGAGTTCTGGGAACTTGAAGAGCACGAAGTGGCCTACAGTTGGCTCCGGGCATCCAAAATGTGGCCCGGGAACGGAGTTCTGGGAAATCGAAGAGCACGAAGTGGCCTACAGTTGGCTCCGGGCATCCAAAATGTGGCCCGGGAATGGAGTTCTGGGAACTTGAAGAGCACGAAGTGGCCTACAGTTGGCTCCGGGCATCCAAAATGTGGCCCGGGAATGGAGTTCTCGGAGCACCAAGAGCGATTTTGCGAGGATGTCCCAAGCGATTTCGGCTTCGACGGCAGCCGTTCCGGGTCCCGCCCCGACCCCCCTGTGGAGTCATCTGCTGCTCTCTTTTGAGACCACTAGAAACCTATCAGCAAAAGCTGTTAGGTAAAAATGATGCAATGGCTTCGAGGGTGGAGGGCGGGTGGTCTTCAACACGTTGCAATATCGCTTTAGCGCAGCGCGCAGTCGTCTGTACATTCTGCAACACATTCAACAATTCTGGGCAGCTCTTTTTCAAACTCTGGTTCTCGCCTGAGCGCCGCGCACATTCGTCTCAAATTTGGCAGCGAATTCAAGAATTGAAAGTGCTTTGTTTCGTACTGTGGTTCTCGCTTTAGCGCCGCGCGCAGCCTTTTGAAACACTGCACAACCGCTTCAAGAATTCGCAGAGTTCAAATCCCAAGAGTAGCGTTCTGGCACGTTCGCGGTGTTGAAGTCCTAGAGATGTTTTGGGACAGCAGAAGATTGCCAGGACGCGGCAATCACGTTGACACGCAGCGTTAAGTCCCAGGAGTAGTGCATGGTACGACTAAAATGATTGTCAGGACGCAGCAATCACGTTAATTCGCGGCGCTGAATTCCCGGGAACGGCTGGCACGATGAAGGATTCTGGGACGGCTGTCATCCAACAGGGCACCTCCCGCAATGAAAATAATTCTTGCATGGGCCCATGAAGAGGGAACTTGCAGAGGGGGTGATTGCAACGTCTTTGATGCGACTTGGGTTGACGCTGGTCCTCCTCCTCCTCCGTCGCCTCTTCCCCCTCCCCCTCCCCCTCCCCCTCCTCCTCCCCTTCCTCCTCCTCGTCCTCCTCCTCGTCTCTGATCATCCTAAACGCTGCCAGCTTGCCGACGGAGGTGAGCGGGGGATCCACGCTGCAGCAGCCGCCCACAAAAGATCAAGAGGAGAAAACGGGAAGAGGGCGCCAGCAGCGCCCTGTGCACGCGGGCGGGCGGGCAGCAGAAGGGGGGGGGGCAGTGGAGGGCGGCAGCGACCACGGCAGCGAGACGCGCGGGGCGAGGACGAGGAGCTGCAGCGGCAGGGCGAGGCCGAGAGGCAGGAGGGCCGCGCCCGTGGGCGCCCCGGCAGCCACCGCGAGGCGCGGCGCAGCGGCAGCGGCCGCGCCGCGCGACGGCCGCAGAGAACCGACGGCGCCAGCGGCGGCACGGGCTCCGACGGCGGCGGCGGCGGGAGGAGCAGGGGCGGCGGATGGAGCGGCGGCGCCCGAGGGCCTCTCCGCGCCGAGAGGGGGAGCCGCGGCGCGGGCCCCTCGGCCGGGGGCCCCCGACGCCGTCCCCGGAGCCGGCCTCTCGCCCGGCAGCCGCCTCTCGACGGCCCCCGGGGCACAGCAACGGCCCGCGGGTGCCGAAGTCTCAAGACACCAGCCTGGCCATCGCTGGAACGTCCATTCCCCGTGCTTTTTTTCGGCTTCGTGCGTGGCCTTTTCGCCAAATGCTCAAGGGTGCTCCTCGATTGTCCTCGCCGAAGGACAAAATGCACACGTCCGAGCGATGCCAAGGGATCATGGCGACGGGGGGGAAATGGCGCACGCCTGGGCCGGACGGCCCAAACGAAAACTGCCCGAACGGACAGCGAGACCGAGACCGAGCGAGCTCGACAAGCCGCAGGCGGCCTGGAAGGGCGCAGCGACGCAGCAACGACACGCTCAAATGACCGAACCGAACCGATCGACCGCAACCGACTGCGAAACAGCCAAACCGACCGAACCGCCGACACGCTTGGTGACCCTCATCGTCTGGTTTTCGGGTCTAACTCGGGTCCCGAGCGGCATGTCGGAACGCTCCCTGCGAGGCGCAGCTGCCGGAAAGCATCCCGAGGATGGAAAATCGCCGAGAACCGACGAAAACGCACGAGAACGTCAAACGTCGAACGCTTCTTGTGCGCCCGGAGGAGGAGGGGACGGAGGAGGAGGAGGAGGAGGAGGAGGAGGACAAGAACGAAGAGGAGGACGAGAAGGAGGAGGAGGAGGAGGAGGCGGAGCAGGAGGGGGAGGAGGAGGAGGAAGAGGGGGAGGAGGAGGAGGAAGAGGAGGAGGAGGAGGAGGAGGAGGAGGAGGAGGAGGAGGAGGAGGAGGAGGACGTGGAGGAGGAGGAGGAGGAGGAGGAAGAAGGACGAGGAGGAGGAGGAGGGGAGGAGGAGGGAGGAGGAGGAGGGGAGGAGGAGGAGGAGGAGGAGGAGGAGGGAGGGGGGAGGAAGAGGAAATTGAGGAGGAGGAGGAATAGAGGGAGGGAAAGCCCACTTTTCCTGGGGCCTGTTCCAGAAGGGCACCAGGCAGCGCGGGCTCGGGCCTCTGCCCGAACCATCCTCGAGCCAGCTTCAACAGGAAGCCGGCCTGGAACTGCGGACTGCAGCGGTGCCCAAGGACAGCTGGGCCGCGGGAACCCCCAATAGAGCTGCTAGGACCGCCATGCCCGCGGGCGGCGAGGACCAGGAGGAGGAGGAGGAGGA